CCCCCCCCCCGCGCTGCTCCCCCAGGTGTTCGATTTGCGGCAGTGCCATCGGCAGATGCAGCAGCAAGCAGCCACAGCACGCGCTGCTGCCGCAACCCAAGCGGCCGCCGTGGCTGGAAGCATCCCGGGACCCGGGGCGGTGGGAGGCATCGCTCCGGCTGTGGGTGAGCGGGCAGCGGGAATTTGGGGGGTGGAGGTGGGGGGGGCACCGTGAGGACCCCAAATAACCGGTGAGGGATTCGCTCAGGGCTGTCGGCGGCCGCCGGGATCGGCGTGGATGATCTGCGGCGGCTGTGCATCCTGCGGCTGAGCTTCGTGAAGGGTTGGGGGCCGGATTATCCGCGGCAGAGCATCAAAAACACGCCGTGCTGGATCGAGGTGCAGCTGCACCGCGCGATGCAGCTCCTGGATGAGGTTCTGCACGCCATGCCGGCTGCTGAGCCCGCAGCGCTGCGCTGAGTGCGTTATGGGGGGAGGGGAGGGAAAAAAGTGGGGGGGGGTGAGGGAAAAGTGGGGGAGAATGGGGAAAAAAAGTGGGGGAAAATGAAAGAAATGTGAGGGGGGGTGTGAAAAAAGTGGGGGAATGGGGGAAAAAAAAGTGGGGAAAAAATGTTTAAAAAAGTGGGGCAATTGGAAAGAAATGGGGAAAATGTAATAAAAGGTGGGGGGATGTAAAAAAAAGTGGGGAAGATGGGAAAAAAATGGGGGGAAATGTAGGGGAAAAAGTGGGGAAGATGAAAAAAAAGTGGGGGGAAATGAAAAAAAAAGAAAGAATTGGAAAAAAAAAGAAAAAAATGGGAAAAAAAAGAAAAAAATAAAGGAGAAAGAAGGAAAATAAAGGAAAAAATGGAAAGGGAAGAAAATAAGGAGGAAATAAAGGGAAGAAATAAAGGGGGGGGGAAGGAAAAAAAAGGAAAGTAAAGAAAAAAATTTAAGGTGAAAAAAGACAGGAGAAAATAAAGGGAAAATAGAAAGGAGAGAAGTAAAAAAGGGGGGAAGGAGTGAAAAAATGGAGTAAAAACAGTTTTAAAGTAGTAAAAGAAAATAAAAAGTACAAAAATGACGTAAAAAAATAAAAAAAAGATGTAAAAAAATGAAGTTAAAAACAGTTAAAAAAATAAAGTAAAAAAAAAAAATAAACCAAAAGAAGTTTAAAAAAAAAAAAAAATTACCCCAAAAAAGCGGATTTTTAGGCGGCGTTTCGCGCGCGCGCCCGGCGCATCGCGGACTCCATTTCCCAGCGGCCCTTTGCGCGCTGAGCGGAAGTGCTCGATCGTCACTTCCGGTTGTAACGCTGTGGTAACGCCAAGATGGCGGCGGGGAGCGGCGGCCCGGCGGCGCGGGAGCTTTTCGCTGAGGGGCTGCTGCAATTCTTGCGGCCCGCCGTGCGGCAGCTGGACGGGCACGTGCATGCGGTCAGGTGCGGGGCTTTGCGGGGCTTTGCGGGGCTGTGGGGCCGCGGTTTGGGCCTGCAGGGCACTGTGTGGGCCGGGATGGGGGAGGGGCGGCGGTGCCCGTTTGCGGTCGGGGTCGCTTGGGGGGGGGAGGGGCTCTCATAGGGGATAATGGGGAGCGCGTTGGTGGTGCGCGGGGGCTTCGGGTCTTTGTCACGGACTCAGCGCTGCTTGCAGGGAGAGCCAAGTGGAGCTGCGGGAGCACATCGACAGTCTGGCGACAGGTGAGGAGGGGGGGTCAGCTCGGTGCGTTGGGGGACCGCCCAGCTCCCGTTGGGGCTGCAGTGCCCCGTGCCCACTCCCTGCCGTCCCCCAGAGCTGTGCCGAATCAATGAGGATCAGAAAGTGGCTCTGGACCTCGATCCCTATGTGAAGAAGCTGCTGAACGCCCGGCGCAGGGTGGTGCTGGTTAACAACATCCTGCAGAACGCCCAGGTCAGATCCTGGAGCTCCGTTGTTGTGTGTTTGTGGGGAGGGGAAAGGGGGGGATTCCCATCCCTTTGTGCTCACAGCTGTTGTTCTCCCACTCCAGGAGAGGCTGCGGCGGCTGAACCACAGCGTGGCCAAGGAGACGATGCGCAGGAGGGCGATGCTGGAGGCAGCAGGCGGATACCCCCAGGGTCTGCCCAGCAAGTGAGCACCACTGCAGCACCCAGCAGGACCCACAGCCCCCCCCCCAGGAGCTGGGATGGAGCAGGAGCAGCTCTGAGTGGGGAGGTGCCTTGCAGAGCTGGGAGCCCCGTGTTGGCAGCGCAGGAGGGAGCCCTTCACTGTGGTGTGCGGTGCTTCAGCTGCAGCATAAGGAACTGGGGGACTCTGTTGTGTTTTTAGGCTTGTAGGCACTGTAATAAAAGGGACTGCGTCTTGCTTACGGAATGGTGAGGCAGTGTGTGTCACAGACACGGCCTTACAGGGTGTGCCTCAGTGGAAGCAGAGCCAGGCAGAAGCTGCCAGCACAAAATTGATCTCCCCCCGGTAGAGCTTTTCAAGATTAAGACTCCCTTCCAGGTACCAGAGCTTTAACACCTTTCTGTAGCGTGCATCTTCTCCCCAAAACAGACAGAACTCACTCAAAAGGGAGAATACTTTAATGTCAACCTATAAAAACAAATACAAGGGACAAATGGCATCGGTTGGGTGTGTTTGCGGGGGATGATTTCGTTCCTCTGCTCAGTTCTTCGAGTGCTTCCTCCAGCAGCAGCCGGTGGTGCTGAGCTGTGCTGCAGGGGCAGAGCAGGGGCTGTGGGAGGCAGAGCTCTGCCCAGCCCCTCCCTGCTCCCTCCTCTTGGGTGCTGCTGGACACCCCACGCAGGCTTTACCTGGGCAAATCACTCCTGGGTCTCCATGCTTTCCTCCTCCTCGCCTGCAGCGGGTTCTTCCTGGTTTTCCTCCTCCTCTTCTCCTTCTTTCTTCTCTGGAGGTTTCTCATAAGCTTTCTCTGAAGGCGTCACTATCACTCCATCCCACGTGGACATCTCAGAAGCCAGATCTGCAGGAAGGGGCGCTGAGCACGCAGCTCACGGCCCCACAGCTACGGGGCAGCACAACCAAGCCCCGTTCCCGGGATGTGCCAGCAGGGGGAAGCACAGCCACCAACGCGTCCCTGCAGCTGAGCAGCTGCCACCAGATGGAGGCCGCCTCTGCGAGCAACCAGCTGCTTCCCAGCAGAGCCCACGGGGCAGCCGGCACAGCTGCTGCTCTGCCTCCTCTCAGCACGGAGGAACCACTCCCACCCCAGATGCTGCTTACAGCTGGCATCGCCCTCCTGGCCCAGGATCTTCCTGTAGCCTCCGTGAGAGAGGATCCGGACCAGCGTCTGTGCTGTGTAGCACACCATGTCCTGCAGCACGAGGATGGGGTCACAGCAGGGATGGATCTGAGTCCCTTCTCCCCTCTGCAGAGGAGGTGGCTCACCTGCTGCTCCAGAGTCATGACTGTATGGACCCTGAAGTTGCCACTCTCGCAGGGATCGGTGATACCAACGGATCCGGGAAGGAAGAGCCCAGCAGCCAAGATCTGAAGGCAGCGCCTGCAGGATGAGACCTTTCATGTTAGGAACGAAACCATTCCCAGCACAGCAACACCAGCAGCCAGTCTGCACAACAGGAGGCACTCAGACACCAAGCAGCTTCTGACGTGCTGGGGAAGAAGTCAAGCACTGAGCACAGCCAAGAGCTGCTTGGCCTCAGGTCTGCAAAGCTCTGAGATAGCAGTGCTTTTATTTGGTGCGTTCAAAACTGAAGTGGGAATGGGGGTTCATACCAGAGAATCAACTGGACACAGACCTGTAGGCGATGTTGAGAGCCAGGGGCTGCCTGGTGGGGTTGTTCATCACAGCGTAGTGCCCCTGAGGAGATGGAAAGAGGACGTGAAGATAAGAGTGAAGCACAGGCATCCCAGATCCCACTGTGGGGGCTACAAGGAGCTGTGCAGGCACTCGGAAACAACCCAAGCTGCAGCACATCTGGCACAACATCAGCATTCATCCTCACCAGCAAATCCAGAATCCAGGGAGTGAGCGGCTCAAAGCCAGGGAACCGAATCCTCAGATCCTTCAGCAGCCGGATTAAGACCTTCACCCTGGAGGAGATGATGGGAGGAGAGTCCATAACACATCCTGCTCGTTCCTGCAGCAGGAACAGGAGCTCGCTCTCCCCCCACCCTCCATAAAGATGATTTTGGGGTCTGTGAACCACAGCTCTTGCTTGAGACCAAACTCACGTGGACTGAGAAGCATTCTCTTCAAACCACCGAGCGTGTCTGATGGCAGCCAGGGCGCTCTGCAGCACTTTGATGTCCACTGAAAGAAGCAGCAGAAAGGCCTGTTTTATAAGCAGAGGAGTTGCAGGCCGGGCAGGCAGACGTGGGGCAGAGCCACCAGAGCCTCACAGTGCAGCTCAGGGTCCAACTTGCGGAGGTTGGGCGGCACTGTGGTGATGAGGATCTTCACTGTCGCGTCAGCTGAGCTGATCTCAAAGCCAGTCTCGTTGGTCAGCATGGTAAGGACTGGAAAGAGAACAAAGTTCCTTACAGAGAGGCTGGAAAACATTCCCAGTGCCCAGGAATGTCCTCAGCCCTGTGCCTGGGCTCTGTGACACACCAGGAGCTGCGTACCTTCGCTGGGGTCCTGCGCTCTCAGGCTTTCCACTACTTTGTTTCCCAGGGCTGCCACAGCTTCCACTGGAGAGCAGCAGAAGTCAGAAGAGGGCTGGGTGCTGCTCTCCCACACCAGCCCAGGAGCTGACAGTACTCACAGGTGGGTAAGATTTTCAGGATGACAACCAGATCGGCCACGTTGTGCCCCGTCGTCATGGTGCCCTTCTTGTAGGAGCCGACCTGGCGAACCTCCTCGATTTGCTGATGGGAAGAACAAAGGAAGAATGAGCAAAAGGAAGCTGGGAGTGGCTGAAAGCAGGGCTGCGTGCTGTGGGTGAGGGTTGGCAACGAGGATCAGCGTCCCCTCAAACATCTCCTCGCAGAGCACGCTGTCAGATGAACCACTTTGACTCACCACTTCAAAAGTCCCCGGCGCTACAATGAGATTATCGATCACGTTGTTTATTTTGGTCACCAGAGAAAGAATAGAAGCCTGGAAAGGAATCACAGACAGGGAGGGACATCGGTCAGTCACCCCACAGCCTGCAGCAGCACCCAGCTTAGAAAGCTGAGCAGAACCCCCTGCGCACAACCTGTTCTGCAGCAGTCGGTGCCAAATCCTGGTTCCTTTTCAGCAAGGCTTCGCTGAATGCGCTCTCATCAGCTGCAGGCTTCACCCGAGGGAAAGCCATCTCACACTGCAACGGGATCAGACATCAGAACTGACACAACACGCGGATTCTGGCTTTATTTTTGATGCCCAGCATTCGTTTCTTTTCTGCAATCCCCAACCAAGCTGCTCAGTTTGTTGCTTCTGTTTTTATGTTATGCTAAAGGAGCACAGAGAACCGCCTGCGTCCTGCAGAAGGAGCACAGGGGAACCACTGCAATTCCCCTGGGCTGCTTCTGCGCCAAAGGATTAAACGGCACCACGCAGAGCAAATCTGACCCCCCATCAACGGGAGTTTGTTAACTGCCAAACAAAACAACGCAGCTTTGTTTGCTTTGGACTCCGGGAGCGTTTCGGTCGCTATGACAGCAATTCACAGCCCCGGGGCTGAGAATCGAGAGTGGGGAAACTCGTTCTGCCTGCAAGGCACGGGGAGGAGAAACCGATTTCCTCCCGGAAGGAGCGGGAATCGCCCCCAGCCCGATCGGGGAGGTCCGACGCGGCGCTGACCGCATCCCGGCCCACACGCACCGCCTCCGGGGTGCGGCTCCGCGTCCGGTTCGGTTCTGAGCCCTTCTCAGGGCTTTCCGGCCGCACTGCCGGAGCTCCCGCCCGACAACGAGGGAAACCCAGCCTGCGAACGGCTCGGTTGGACGCGGTTTACTCACGACATAGAAATCAAAGGGGATGTGCGGCACAAAGGGCCGGAACCTAAAGGGGAGAAAAAAAGCGCTTCATTCCCCGCCGTGCCGAGCGGGAACGGGAAAGGGAACGAGAACGGGAACGGGAACGGGAGCGGCCCTCACAGCTCACAGCCCCCCGGCCCTGCTGCCCCCCCACCCCTAGGCCTGCTCTGGGACCCCCCGGAGCAGAAGCGGGACTCGCCCACTGCCAGGGCCTCCCCTGGAACCAAAGCGTCCGCCACGGCCTCTGCCTCGGTCGCCCCTGCGGAAGAGAACGGAAGGAGACGTTAAAGGAGCGGCGGCGCGGCGCCGAGCCCCGCTGCCCCCGACGCTCCGCACCTCATCGCTGCGCCGCAACGAACAATGACCGCCGCTCAGACGCCGCCGGCCTGCGCTCCCGCACCCCGCAACAAGCCGCGCGCCCATTGGCTGCCGGCCCCCGCGAAGCTGACCAATGGTGAGAGCCTCCTGAAGGCCATTGGCTCGGCTAGTCGTCAATCTATGGCGGCGGATTTTAAGTGGCCAATCATTAATAGCTGCGGGAAGGGAGGGAGGGACGAGTGGGTGCGCCGCTATGCGCATGCGCCGGGATAACGGCGACCGCTGGAGGGAGTCCAGCGCTTGTGAATGGGGCCGAAGGGAGCGTGGTACGCATGCGCGGCTGGGAGGCGGCCGTGAGAGCAGTTTCATATACAGCGGTAGGAAGGTGTTAACAAGCAGCAGAGTGGCGCAGCGGAAGCGTGCTGGGCCCATAACCCAGAGGTCGATGGATCGAAACCATCCTCTGCTAGCTGAAATCTTTTCCCTCTCGCCCAGTCTGTTTTTTCTCATTAGTGCTTTTATTAAGTAATTTAATTGCCGCCGTCGCCTCCAGCGCCGCGCAGTGCCGCCCCGCGGGCCGCTCCGACTCCATCGCGGGGCGGACCGGCGGTGGGCGCCGCGCGTGGGGTCTCCCCTCCGGCGGGACGGGAGGGGGCGGCGCGGGGCGATGCTCCCGGCGCGGGGTCCGTCGGCTCTCAGCCCCACGCAGCTCCGCACCGCGCCGCCCCACGCGGGATCCCCCCGCCCCGTGGGCGCGCACGCACACGGACACGCGTGGGGCGGGGTTGGCGGCGGGCGGGCACGAAGGGGTTAAGGCGGCGATGGGCGCAGCCCTCCGTCGCGGCCGGGGAAGGACGGGCCGGGCGCGGGGACGGGGCCACTCGCGGCGATGCCGGCGGTGCTGTGCGGGGCGCTGCTGCTGTGCGGGGCGCTGTGCGGGGCCCGCGGGGCCGCGCTGACGCTGGCGGTGGTGCTGCCCGAGCGGAATCTCTCCTACCCGTGGGCTTGGCCGCGCGTGGGACCCGCCGTGCGCCTGGCGGCCGCCGCCGTGAACGCGCGTGGGGATCTCCTGCCCGGCCACGCGCTGCGCTGGGTGTTCGGCAGCAGCGAGGACCGGCACGGTTTGTGCTCCGAGATGGCAGCGCCGCTCGCCGCCGTGGATCTGCGGCTCGCCCACCACCCCGCAGCCTTCGTGGGGCCGGGCTGCGTGTACGCGGCGGCGCCGGTCGCGCGTTTCACGAGCCATTGGGGGCTGCCGCTGGTGACGGCGGGGGCCGAGGCGCACGGCTTCGACGACAAACGCGAGCAGTTCGCGCTGACGACGCGCGTGGGGCCGAGCCACCGCAAACTGGGCGAGCTGGGAGTGCGGCTGCACCGGCGCTACGGGTGGGCGCGGCGGGCGCTGCTCGTCTACTGGGACGAGAGGGTGGACGACCGGCCGTGCTTCTTCGCGGCCGAAGGGCTCTACGTGCAGCTGCCGACGCTGCGCAACATGACGGTCCTCGACGTGGTGTTCCGCCACCGCGGGAATTACTCCTTCATCATCCAAGAGATCCGGCAGAAAGGGCGCGGTGAGTGCGGGGCGGTGCGGGGCGGTGCGGGGCGCGGAGCCTCGCGGCGGTGCGGTGCTCCCTCCCCGCCGGGGGTGCGCGGGGCGGTGCGGTGCGGTGCGGAGCGGCCGCTCGAAGGGGAGAGCCGGAGCGCACAGGTGTGTGCGGGTGAGAGCCGATGTGCGGGGCTCGGTGCGGTACAGACGGCCGTGCCGAGCTGCAAACAGGTGCGCACCGATCCGATCCGCAGGGCTGCACGCCCGTGTGCGCACCGCACAGCGCTGGGGGCGGTCCGGCACGCGTGGGACCCCCGCGCGGCCCCGCAGCCCGGAGTCGTCCGAATGCCCCCCCCTCCCGCCCCACTCCACCTTCCTCATCCCCCGGAACGGCGGCATCGGGGCTGCGGTGCTGCCCGTCCGCACCCGGTGGACCCGGGGGGGGCACCGTCGGGATCGCGGGCGCCGATCCGGGAGGAGGAAACGGTGTCGGGAAAACAGGAAACATCGGGCCGAGCCCCGGGGGGG